CACCTCCTCAGCCTCCGCCTGCTCGGCCCACTCCTCAACAGCATCTGTCCACCACCACCTCAACCTCCAATGCCACCACCAGCAGCAGCAACCACAACAGTAACAGCAATAATGATCAGCAGCAGCAGCAGGAACAACAACAACAGCAGCAACAGCAGCACTCAGCTGTAAGTTCTCAATCAAACGGCAACGCCAACAGCGGCAGCAGCAGCAATAGCAGCGCCGCCAACTCCAATAGCAACAATAATTATACGCGTCCTTGGGAAATGGATACCAAGGACCATCACAGCCACAGCAGTACATTGAAGAGTGCAGGTCTCGGCAATGGAGGCGGCAACGGTCCCGGTAATGGCAGAGAACATCTTGGAGGAGCCGGCGGCTTCGAGCCCTTCTCTAAGCTGCCCTCTTTCCAAAGTCAATTTCATGGCTACAACGACCCGCTCATGTCCGATGGCATTGCGGCCATGGCTTCGTCGGTGCTACCGCCGTCGATGTCCTCACTCCAGACGGTTGCCATGTCACCAGCAAGCATTTCAGTCAGTTCGCCAGGTATGGTAAGTGTGGGTTCACCATTGACGCAACTATCTGGCTTGCAGGCGAGTATTACACCACCTTCATCTGCCACAGCCGCGTCGTCGTTTGCCCCACTTGGTGCACCTCCGCCTCCGCCGCCAAATACATTTCATCATTTGGGCGCAGTAAACACGCATGGCCATCACCGAAGCAGTGCCTCCTATGCACCGCTAATGCCCACTAATACCGGTGCTATGGGCAGCTATGGTTCAAGTGGCGCGCTGGACGACGGACGTCATCATCTGCCTTTATACCAGGCACTTACGCCCACTTATGCTACCCCGCCGGCACCAAGTGCACTCGCGCCTATCTCGTCGCAACATACACTCGGTGGATTGGGAGGAATCGGTGCGTTTAGCGGTGTTGGTAAGAAAGATACCACTCAGACATATGATCTCAATAACGGCAACGGTGGTCTCACACTGAGCGCAGCGACTATCAATACAGCTAATACCAATGTTACACCGATGGGGATGCACACACCAACCACGCCTTCATATGTAGATGGTAGTGGCGGTATTACTATGATGGATACATCAAATGGAGCTTCTGGATATCACACGCCACACTCCACACATGCTGGTAGTTCCAGCGGTGCTGGTGCTGGCGCTAGTGGGCCACATACACCACATACTCCGCATACGACGCAACCGCATACTCCTACTCCCTCCACCACCACGCAAATCAAGGTCGAGAAGGTACTGAATTCTCCTATTGCGCGGGTGGATGCGAGAAAAAAGGAACGGCGGAAAAATCGGGCGAATTCGCTCGAGTCCAGCGCCGAGTCTGAGGCAAGTGCTATGGATGTGGATCCCAGCAATCCCGGACAAGTGGATGCGGTCTCGAGCACGGCCAACTTCAAAAGTCCACTGAGCGCGCTGGGAATGGGCGATAGTAACGACACCAACAGCGACAAACAGGTAAGCAATGAGCTGTGAACTGAGAAAGCGCCATAGCATTGAGCGAAGAACATGAGTTGCTTATCGCCTAATTTTAGACTTCTGTCTTTCAGTCGAAGAAAAAACGCAAAAGGTGCGGCGAATGCATCGGCTGTCAACGTAAGGACAATTGCGGCGAGTGCGCTCCTTGTCGCAATGACAAAAGTCACCAAATTTGTAAGCAGCGACGTTGCGAGAAGCTCACTGAGAAGAAGGTAAGTCAAGGTTTTATATTGCTATTTACCTTAGGATAGGGTAGTGAAAACTTACCTTATTTTTCTTCTTTTTGAATTCAGTACAAAACGATACATATGTAAATTAAAAAAATAGATAATAATAACACATTTTTAGAAAAAAATTTAACATCGTTTGAACGGACTTTTGCGCCAAATATACCACTAATATAAATACGTGTTGTTACTTTATACTCCCTTTGCTACGCTGTTGGTTAGCATGGTATATGTATGTACATTAGGGTAGTCCAAAAAAAAGTAGAGTCGGAATTTTAATGCCCTAGGATTGTTCTAAATTGAAAAAATTATTCCCCTGTTTTTTCTTATTTTGAAATCAAAAAATTTTTAGAGGTCGCTCAAGCGCTCAAAGTTTTCCGTGCATGTATATATTTATATGGGAAAACAGTTCTTTAGAATCAATATTTTTCGATCGGAAAACTCTGTTTCGCTTTAGGAGACTTCCAATAACAATACCCAGTTGTTCATTTAACTATTTTCTATTATTACCTATTTTTTAGGACCCCTAAAAACCTCAAGAAATGCAGTGTAGGAGCCCATAAAAAAATCGCTAGTGTTAAAAAAAGGTATAAGAAACAAAGTGCTCCCATCGAAAAATATTGGACTTCAAGAATTCTATACCATTTCTACGAAAACTTGTTTTTTCCCCATATAAACTACATGGAAAACTTCGAGTGCTTTGAGGGACCTCTAAATATTTTCTTATTTCAAAATAAAAAAAACAGGGGTATAGGTTTTTTGGTGTAGAATAATCCAGGGTGATAGCAATAAAATCCCGATTTTACTTTTTCTCATGCAAATACTCAAACTAAATCCATGGCGTATTTCGCTATTTTATGTCAACGTGACTATTGGAGCATCTACTCTACTCTGCTGGCAGAGAGAATGAAAACACAGTTAAAGTGAAAGCGCTTGCGAATGTTTCCGACTTCCTTCTATTTCGGATCATGACAACAATTAAATCAGGGAACTTTTTCGGGGAGAGGCCACAACTTTCTCTATATTTTTATCATTGTTCTCAAAGGTTTCTACAAGCGTGTCTATACCAATCTAGTGATAACGCGAATGCAAAGATTCCATGTACATGCTTAAGTCAGATGTTAGCTAGCCATGCTTTCACACTGGGCTTAATCCATAATGATAACTGCAGGAAGTGCCAAATGAAAAATAAATCGGTGGAACACATAGTGATAAATCTAAGGCGTAACTGCTTTAGGGGGGAGTTTCAGAAAAAAACGGTTTGCACAGTATCTTAAAATGTGTTATTTGTTCTTAGTATATGTACTATGGTTACGGTGACCATAAATATATTTTGAAAATGCAGGACAATTTTTCAAAAAATGTACCTACATATAATTGCGTAGTATAAAAATAACAAAAATATACGACATTCCTCGTCATTCGAATAGCGCACCCTTTTTTTGAAGAAAATGCGCAGCACCGTCAACAAAAAACTGTCGCCCCTGTGTTTATTTTTATTTATTTTTTTTCAAAAATTTTTAAAATGGGACGCAGAATATGCTATATTTTTATAAAAAGTTAATGAATATTAAACAAACAAAAGGAAAACTGTACCTACTAAGTATTAAAAGGATGCGCTATTCAAATAAAGAAGAGTGTATATTTCTTAATTATTAATCCAAATTTAAACTTTAAACATAAATAACATTTGCTTCATTGTTTTAGTCTTTTAGTAATGAATATTTACAAAATTATAATAAGGCACATTACATATTACTTTACACGAAATATGAACCTCTGAAAAGCAAATTTTTCAGGCAAACTTTTGGTCGTTGAACACGAAAAAAATACCCATGGTTTCAAAGAAGTGTTTTCGAGATTTGTTCGAAAAACGTATTTTTAGTACTTTTTCAGTTATTCCTCAATATCTCATGCAACGACCAACAGTTCGAAAGGTATTGATGGGCTCTTTGCAAAAATATATATTTTTTGTGCAGATTGTGTTCCGTAACATCTACATTTCTCATCAGATTTTCATTTACTGTAAAAA